TTCACAGTACAGAGGTGAACGTCCACATTTTAAGAAGTGGCCTCTAAAACAGGATACTCAGTTTCTGAGTGCTCAACGTGAGACTGTGGCTTGGATTCTCAGAGTGGCTGCTGATCGCTAAGGCCAAATGAAACCAATTGAAGTAGTGGGTGCTCAGCTCCTTTAACCAAACCTACTTGCCAGAGTTTCCAGCTGGATTCCAAAACTACCAGGACTGAGCGTGGCCAACTCTCAATACCTTTGGGAATCCTCGCACATTGTCTGTGGGCATTGGGCCTGCCTTGAAGGCCCTGGATCTAAGCAGGTACCAAACCGAATAGCTTGAACCATAATGACCTCAACTAGAAAAACAGGCTTGTAATAAGAACCACAGATGGGATTGATCCAAGCTCCCGGCACCTTGCATAACAAGGCTGTTTCCCAAAATCCCAGCTCTGAACACCCACAATGTTTGGGAATTAAGAAGGGCATGCAAACTTTGCATCTCAAGTCCATATCTGGAGGGGAAAAGGAATAAATAAGTCATTATTTCATATGGCAGCCTTCGAATGCTGCAACTGACACAAACCCCAGAAAGTCAATAGGTCCTGAAGCCTCCCCTTTGAGAGGGTTTTTCTTTCCCCTGTAATTAAGAGCAGTTAGATTTACTTCCAAGAAAAATTCAGGGTTTTGCTTTTTCTGGAATTGCCCTCTTGTTAAAAACACCTCTTTCTTCTCATGCTGGTTTGGAAGCTCTCCTTACAATGCTCTGACTAAGGAGATGGAATTTTAGCTTTATTGGGTGAGAAAGGCTCAGCTGCCATTCATTCCAACAGCTCAGACAGCTGCCAAAGCCACACAACCAGGACATTACAGCTAAATTAAAAGCTGGGCCGGCTTTAAATGGCTCCATGATGCCCTAAAAAAAGAACTAAACACACAAAGCCTAAATAAACTGTCCTCACTGTTACCTTGCTCCCTTTGCGCATAAAGAATGCACACATCCTCAAGGATGTCTTTTAAAGGGGAAGCTTGCTGATCCTTAAAGCTGTCTCTGATCAGTGCCTGGTGAGGTCTGGATACAAAGCAGCAGTGCTCAGCTGCTCAAGAATCGCACCTCGCGTCCGTGCGGCTGGAGACAGGGAGGTTAAAGGTTTCTCTCCACTTCCGGCTAGCACATTCACATTCACTCCTTCTAGCAGGTTCCAGGGAGAGAGGGAGCTTTAGAAAGCTTTAGAAAGATGCAACAGGCGTCAGGATCTCAAGGTGGTTATTTGACACTGAAAAAGAGGAGCTGAGGTTGATGCGAAGCAAGTTAGAGCTCACAGGGAAATCCAGGTTGGCATGTGAAAACACAGCTCTGGCTGCGCCTCCCAACACTTGCATGTGCCATCTCTGCAGCCTGTCTGCACAAGTCCCCCTCTCCGAGCATTAAAGCCAGGGACTTTACAGATGTAAAAGTGCACAAACAGCCCCTGAAGGCTTCCAGAGCTTCCGTTTCCTTCCCTTCGCACCTAGCATTAGACAGCCGAGAGAAAAGGCCTGCACTAACTTGTCCCCCGTTACGGATTTTAGAATTGTACATTTCGTGGTCTCAAGGAAAGTGGACTCTGGAGATTCATAGCAGCATCCATACAGGGATTCAACTATTACATAGGAATGTGCATTTACTGGCATGCGAAGTGTATAAAATCCTGTAACCTAGAGCTGGTAAAGACTTGGGCAGTCTCCCTGTCAGGGCAGGATTGGTCCCTACTACACCTCACATACATTTGGGACAGTCATCTATGTATGATAATTCTGTTCTTTACTATAGTTTCAACCAATCTGCCTGATAATGAAGTTAGGCTTCCCAGCCTGTAACTGGTCCCTTTTAAAAAAATCTGCATTACATTTGCTATCCACCAATCATCTGGTACAAAGTCTGTTTCAAGTGATACGTTACGTACCACAGTTAGTGGCTCTGCAATTTCATATTTGAGTTCCTTTAGAACTCTTGGGGAAATACCATCTGGTCCTGGTGACTTATTTATCAATTTGTTCCAATCCCACCTCTATTGACATCTCAATCTGGGACAGTTCCTCAGATTTGTCACCTAAAAAGAACGGCTCAGGTATGAGACTCAACCTCACATCCTCTGCAACAAAGACAGATGCAAAGAATTCACTGAGCTTCTCTGCAGTGGTCTTGTGTTCCTTGAGTGCTCCTTTAGCACTTCGATTGTCCAGTGGCCCCGCTGATTGATTGGCAGGTTTCTGCCTTCTGATGTGCTTTAAAAAATTTGCTGTTAGTTTTGTGTCTTTTGCTAGTTACTCTTCAAATTCTTTTTTGGCCTGCCTAATTATAACTTTCCATTTGACTGGCCAGAGTCTATGCGCCTTTATATTTTCCTCAGTAGGATATGGCTTCCAATTTTTAAAAGATGTCTTTTTGTCTCCAGCTGCCTCTTTTGCTATGTTAAAAACATAAGACCGGCCATACTGGGTCATATCAATGGTCCATCTAGCCCAGTACGCTGTCTTCCAACAGCGGCCAATGCCAGGTGCTTCAGAGGGAATGAACAGAACAGGTAATCATCAAGTGATCCATCCCCTGTCGCCCATTCTGAGCTTCTGGCAACGTTGTTTAGCTATGGTGGCATTTTTTGGTCCTCTTACTGTTTTTTTTTTTTTTTTTCTTTCCTAATTTGGAGTATACATGGAGCTTGAGCCTCTATTATTGTGTTTTTCAGAAGCTGCTATGCAGCTTGCAGGCATTTCACTCTTGGGACTGTTCCTTTTAATTTCTGTTAAACTAGACTGTTCATTTTTGTGTGGTTCCCCTTTTTGAAGTTAAGTGCTACTGTGGTAGGTTTCTTTGCTATTTTCCCCCACACAAGGATGTTAAATTTAATTACATTATGGTCGCTTTTACTGAGCGGTTCAGCTATGATAACCTCTGGGCCAGGTTCCGTTAGCCACTTAGGACTAAATCAAGAATTGCCTCTCTGCTTGTGGGTTTTAGGACTACCAGCCTCAAGATGCAGTCATTAATGGTGTCTCGAAATTTTCTCTGCATCCCGTCCTGAAGTGACATGTATCCAGTCAATATGGGATAGTTGAAATCACCCATTATTACGGAGTTTTCTGTTTTTGTAGCTCCTCTAATTTCCCTTAGTATTTCACAATTACAGTCACCATCCCGGTGAAGTGGTCGTTAGTGTATTCCTACTGCTATACTCTTATTATTCAAGCATTGAATTTCTATCCGTAGAGACTCTATGGTACTGTTTGATTCATTTAAGACTTTTATTGTATTTGACTCTGTGCTTTCTTTCACATATAGTGCTTCCCCTCCCTCCAGCACAACCTACCTTGTCATTTCTATGTATTTTGTACACTGGTATTACGGTGTACCACTGATTATCCTTGTTCCACCAAGTTTCTGTGATGCCTATTATACCACCATCCTCATTTAATACCAGGTATTTAATACCCCTCCTCTCAGAGAGGTATCCGCAGTGCAAGGGGATATCATGACATCATCTGGAAGGAGAATCCCAACTATGGGCTCATTTCCCTCCACTCCAGCTTCATGTTCTTCCTCGAGACTTCCATCCTCCTCAACAGCACAGAGGCTGTCAGACTGAGGATAGGACCTCTTGGAAAGTCTCCTCAATGTACCTCCCTGTCTCCCTTACTTCCTCCAGTTCAACCACTTTGGTCTCAAGAGCCAGTGCTCCCTCTCTGAGGGCCAGGAGCTGCTTGCACTGAATGCACACATATGCCACCTGTGCCGAAGGCAGGTGACCATACATGCTGCATTAGTGCAATCAATTGGACAGCCCCCACTCTGCTGCTGGACTTCCGTCTGCATTATTTTTACTCTTGCAGGGATGTGCGTGCGTACACATTTTGGATCTATACTACCATAACAGGGTAGAGATTTCGGCTCCAGAGTTCCTGGCTTCCAGTCCTGTGCTCACTGCATCCTTCTCTCAGAAGTGATAATGACGTATCTACTACAGTGGTATGTTCTCCCAGAGACACACGCGCACATTAGGAGATACAAGGCAGCAGCTGATGAGGAGACACTGGGTTTATTCCAGGGATAGTCAATAGATGGACCGTGAGCCAAATCTGGACCGCCAGATGTGTTTGAACTGACCAGGATCTTTTTATTTACTTATTATCATCATGATTGTTGTCATTTTTGTATTATTTTCTCTGGAGTCTGGACCTTGACTATATCTTGACCAAGAAATTTGGACCTTAACAAAAAAATAATTGGTTACCCCTGGTTTATTCCTTTCCCCTTTAAAGCGATCAGCATCTTTATAGCCTTTAGTCACAAAGCAACTGAACCCTCCTATCACTTTACCACTTCAAGGAAGCTATAATAGCTGCCGAACGGAAGCATGAACTCCAAAGGCAGCTGCTAGCTGAGAAGTTATTGGAAGGGTCTGTGACGGCAACAAAGCAAATATTTACAAAACTGAAACATATGGGAGAGATGGGGACCAACAGGTACTGCCTAAGCTTGGGCATCAATGTCTTGGGTAGAGAAGGGGCTCCCAGCGAAGGGATCTGATCCAATCATTCCCAGCACAGGGTACATATGTCAGCACTATTACTTCAAGCTGTGACTAGCAGTCTAGGCCCAATGCCTGGGTGTGGCCTGCCTCCTTCGGCCCCAAATGGAAGCTGGGCTGCTCTGAACCCCAGCAGGGTTTGGCATGGCCTTGGCTCTGCTGTGGTTTGTTGCGGGCACATGTCGGAAAGGGAGGATGTGGGCACTGTCTAGTAAAGTGGAGGTCGCACGCGAGGAGAGAGGGTGTACTCCAGAGAAGTAAGGAGAACTGATCTAGCCCACCTCCCCTGCACTGTAACAGGCTGGCTTCCATAGGGCTGGCTGTGCCCAGATTCAAAAGCCTCCCGCAGCTGCTGGTTGCTCCTCCCTGAACTCTGGGAGAGAGAACGAAAGGGGCTACTAGAAAGGGGACACTCTGGTCAGGATCAAAAGCCCTGAAGAGGCTACATACCATTACTGTGATGCCATCCTTCTCCAGGGGAGTCTTGTCGTAGGTCACTTCGCAGACCCGCACGACTGTCGTCGCGCCGTACTTCTTCAGATCCTGGAAAGAGAAGGGGAGACTCTTTACTTACAGACACATCTTCTCTATAGCAATCCTACCAGAGAGCAGACAGGCACGTGGCCTCTCTTTTCACCCGTGCTATTTGCATGGCTCTCCTTCCAGATGTAGACTCAGCCCGGCACTGAAACATGTGCAAGCACAAATCACATGCTGAGCGAGCTGGGCACACGTGTAAGCGCCTGGCTGAGTCAGGACCAGGATGGGTATGGTGAGGTGCTCAGGGAGCGGTTTAGGGCTGCAAGAAGTTTTTACCTTCTGCTTTCTCCACATTTACATTCATGATCCCCTTAATCCTCCCACCAGCCCCTCCAACATGGCTCCCCCTGACTCCTTTCCAGTGTTAGCCCTGAAAACAAAATCCTCCAACACACACAATTCACCCGTTATGGCATAGCCTGTATGTGGTCGGAACACAAGCCCACAAACCAAAACGCCCCAACAATTCTGGCAGAAACCAACTCACTGGGACCTTGGGCAAGTCAGCACCGGTGTGATGCTTTGGGAGTCCAACCAGACAAGTAAGGTGGTCTGCTAATACCTGCCCGGTAACCTCAGGTGCCCATATGCTGTGCAGCTTTGGCAGAGCCCTGACACCAGCACCATGTCCACAGCATAAAGGTCTCCCCCTGCACTTTCATCCTCCAGTTACTCCTTTGCAGGGTGACCCCAAAAGCCCTTCCAATTTGGAGTCTCCCCAAAACTGTCTCCCCTGAAGTATCCGGTCCCTCTTGCTGAACGCTGTCAGAGGTAACACCAACTTCAATGCCTCCAAAGAGCCAGTCCATACAACAGCTTGATAGCTCAGCTGGGGTTAGACACGGCCCTTTAATACCCAGCACTGAGCTGGTCTGTGGTAAAACTTAAGTTTATTAACAAAGAACACAGATTCAAGTGATTTCAAGCTAGCGTGGAAGAGATTCGAAAGGGTGACAAACAAAACCAAACCAGCACGCGTTCTAGAGTCTAATCCTTAACTCTCGCCCGATAGAGCTTCTTCCTCACACCACGCTGTTAGCATTCTCCAGCATGACTGGCTGTTCCAGCCAGGATCTACCCTCCCCTGCTATGAAATGGGGATTGTGCCACATGTCTGGCACAGGTGTTGTGAAGATTAATTTGCATTTGTACAATAAGGCAAAAGAGCTATGAAGGGGCTGCGTACTGGGATGGAGAAGCCTCCTTTTCCCTACGCAGGAAAATATCTTTCAGAGAATCATAGAGTATCAGGGTTGGAAGGGATCTCAGGAGGTCATCTAGTCCAACCCCCTGCTCAAAGCAGGACCAATCCCCAACTAAATCATCCTAGACTCATATCCAGCTTCTCATCCACTGTAATCCCCAGGTCCTTTTCTGTAGAACTGCTGCTGAGCCATTTGGTCCCCAGCCTGTAGCGGTGCACGGGATTCTTCTGTCCTAAGTGCAGGACTCTGCACTTTTCCTTGTTGAACCTCATCAGATTTCTTTTGGCCCAATCCTCTAATTTGTCTAGGGCCCTCTGTATCCTATCCCTACCCTCCAGCGTATCTATCACTCCTCCCAGTTTAGTGTCATCTGCAAGCTTGCTGAGGGTGCAATCCACACCATCCTCCAGATCATTAATGAAGATATTGAACAAAACCGACCCTAGGACCGAACCTTGGGGCACTCCGCTTGATACCAGCTGCCAACTAGACATGGAGCCATTGATTACTACCCGTTGAGCCCGACAATCTAGCCAGCTTTCTATCCACCTTATAGTCCATTCATCCAGCCCATACTACTTTAACTTGCTGGCAAGAATACTCTGGGAGACTGTCAAAAGCTTTGCTAAAGTCAAGGAATAACATGTCCACTGCTTTCCCCTCATCCACAGAGCCAGCTATCTCGTCATAGAAGGCAATTAGATTAGTCAGGTATGACTTGCCCTTGGTGAATCCATGCTGACTGTTCCTGATCACTTTCCTCTCCTCTAAGTGCTTCAGAATTGATTCCTTGAGGACCTGCTCCATGATTTTTCCAGGGACGGAGGTGAGGCTAACTGGCCTGTAGTTCCCTGGATCATCCTTCTTCCCTTTTTTAAAGATGGGCACTACATTAGCCTTTTTCCAGTCGTCCGGGACCTCCCCTGATCGCCATGAGTTTTCAAAGATAATGGCCAATGGCTCTGCAATCACATCCGGCAACTCCTTTAGCACTCTCGGATGCAGTGCATTCGGCCCCATGGACTTGTGCTCTTCCAGCTTTTCTAAACAGTCCCGAACCACTTCTTTCTCCACAGAGGGCTGGTCACTTCCTCCCCATGCTGTGTTGCCCAGGGCAGTGGTCTGGGAGCTGATCTTCTTAGTGAAGACAGAGGCAAAAAAAGCATTGAGCTTTTTCCACATCCTCTGTCACCAGCTTACCCCCTCATTCAGTAAGGGGCCCACGCTTTCCTTGGCTTTCTTCTTGTTGCTAACATACCTCAAGAAACCCTTCTTGTTACTCTTAATATCTCTTGCTAGCTGCAACTCCAAGTGTGATTTGGCCTTCCTGATTTCACTCCTGCATGCCCGAGCAATATTTTTATACTCTTCCCTGGTCATTTGTCCAATCTTCCACTTCTTGTAAGCTTTTTTGTGTTTAAGATCAGCAAGGATTTCACTGTTAAAAGACAAGCTGGTCGCCTGCCATATTTACTATTCTTTCTACACATCGGGATGGTTTGTCCCTGTAACTTCAATAAGGATTCTTTAAAATACAGCCAGCTCTCCTGGACTCCTTTCCCCCTCATGTTATTCTCCCAGGGCATCCTGCCCATCAGTTCCCTGAGAGAGTCAAAGTCTGCTTTTCTGAAGTCCAGGGTCCGTATTCTGCTGCTTTCCTTTCTTCCTTGTGTCAGGATCCTGAGGAACTCGACCATCTCATGGTCACTGCCTCCCAGGTTCCCATCCACTTTTGCTTCCCCTGCTAATTCTTCCCGGTTTGTGAGCAGCAGGTCAAGAAGAGCTCTGCCTCTAGTTGGTTCCTCCAGCACTTGCACCAGGAAATTGTCCCCTACACTTTCCAAAAACTTCCTGGATTGTCTGTGCACCGCTGTATTGCTCTCCCAGCAGATATCAGGGTGACTGAAGTCTCCCAGGAGAACCAGGGCCTGTGATCTAGTAACTTCCGTTAGTTGCCGGAAGAAAGCGTCGTCCACCTCATCCCCCTGGTCTGGTGGTCTATAGCAGACTCCCACCACGACATCACCTTTGTTGCTCACACTTCTAAACTTAATCCAGAGACACTCAGGTTTTCTGCAGTTTCATACCAGAGCTCTGAGCAGTCATACTGCTCTCTTACATACAATGCAACTCCCCCACCTTTTCTGCCCTGCCTGAACAGTTTATATCCATCCGTGACAGTGCTCCAGTCATGTGAGTTATGCCACCATGTCTCTGTTATTCCAATCACATCATAATTCCTTGACTTTGCCAGGACTTCCAGTTCTCCCTGCTTGTTTCCCAGACTTCTTGCATTTGTGTATAGGCACTTGAGATAACTCGCTGATCGTCCCTCTTTCTCAGTATGAGGCAGGAGCCCTCCCCTCTCGCGCTCTCCTGCTCGTGCTTCCTCCCAGTATTTCACATCCCCACTTACCTCAGGGCTTTGGTCTCCTTTCCTCCGGTGAACCTAGTTTAAAACCCTCCTCACTAGGTTAGCCAGCTTGCTTGCGAAGATGCTCTTCCCTCTCTTCGTTAGGCAGAGCCAGTCTCTGCCTAGCACTCCTCCTTCTTGGAGCACCATCCCATGGTAAAAGAATCCAAAGCCTTCTCTCTGACACCACCTGCGTAGCCATTCGTTGACTTCCACGATTCAACAGTCTCTACCCAGGCCTTTTCCTTCCACGGGGAGGATGGACGAGAACACCACTTGCGCCTCAAACTCCTTTATCCTTTTCCCCAGAGCCATGTAGTCTGCAGTGATCTGCTCAAGGTCATTCTTGGCAGTATCATTGGTGCCCACGTGGAGAAGCAGGAAGGGGTAGCGATCCGAGGGCTTGATGAGTCTCGGCAGTCTCTCCGTCACATCGTGAATCCTAGCTCCTGGCAAGCAGCAGACTTCTTGGTTTTCCCAGTCGGGGCGGCAGATAGATGACTCAGTCCCCCTGAGGAGAGAGTCCCCGACCACCACCACCCGTCTCCTTCTTTTGGGAGCGGTGGCCGTGGAACCCCCATCCCTAGGACAGTGCATCTCATGCCTTCCAATCGGCAGCGTCTCCTTCTGTTCCCTTCCCTCAGATGTATCATCTAGTCCCCTCTCCGCATTAGTACCTGTGGAGAGAACATGAAAACGGTTGCTCACCTGTACCTGCGCTGCTGGTACATGGACGCTCCCCTTTCTTCTTCTGGAGGTCACATGCTGCCAAATTTCTTCACCGTCCTCCTGTCCCCGCAGTGCAGCCTGCTCTGAATCTTCAGAATGTTGTGTCCGTAGAAGCACATCCTGACCTCTGTCCAGGAAATCTTCAGTCTTTGGACACCTTTCTGGACATCGCTCCAGCAGGGACTTTGCAATCTGAGACCTTCCCGCGACTTCACTACAAGCTACGTTTTCCCACACAAAGGTGCGTGTCGGCATTAGAAACGTTTGTCAGATCTGCCAACAATTAGTCTAGCACTGATGTAGCAGACTGGGGCTTTGGCATACTTGGGGTGACTGTAATGAGTAGCAGTGTAGTTCAGTGGTTAGAGCAGTGGACTGGGATTCACGAAGCCTGGGTTCTATTTCCAGCTCTGCTACTGACCTGTCTCATGACCCTGGGCAAGTCACGTCACTGCTCTGTGCCCATTTCAGCTCTTCTGGGCAGAGAGTGTCCTTCACTCTGTGTTTATACAGCCCCTAGCACAATGGGGCCTTTATCTTACTGGGGATCTTTAGGCACTGCCGTAACGCAAATCAATAATAGTTACTGGCATCTAACCCTGCTCAGAGCACAGCTACATGACATTGTGGTCAAAGGGCCTGGGTGCTGCCTAGAG